GGCGGTCGCCCGGCACCGAGATGGAGGCGTGGACCCGCCGTGCGGTTCGGAGGTGCGCTGAGTGCTGAAAAGCTTTGCCTCTGTTCAAGAAGTTAGCAAAAAGCTACCACCCTGCGGCGGCGCTTGCGCGAAGGGTAACGTTGAGAGGCTGAAAGTGGAACTCGGAGCTGCCGGGGTCCCGAGCTGAGCTGCCTCCGCCTGATGCAAACCTGTGCACTTACAGATGCTTAAACCAGCGCTTTTTTACACACTGGTCTCTGGCAAATGCCTTGGTGGTGTATCTGGCAAGAAGGAAACGCTCGAGTTGTCTTAGAAAAGCCTGGCAGGCTGCAGCTCTTTACGGTGCTTTTAATGCATTTGCAAAACCTGGCGCTGTGCTTGTTCTTCTGCAGGTTTAGGGGAGCTGGGGCTGGTGCAAGTTTGCCCCTGTAATCAGTGGCACACGGGGTGCGTTGGTGGCCCCAGCCCTGCGGGACCCCTCACCCCCAGCATCCTGTGTCACCTCTGGTGCTCTGTCCCCAAGATTTTTCTGCAGTGGCCCCGGCGCCTGCAGGCAGGACAGGGCAGGACAAGCCCCACGCTGGGTTTTCTGGCAGAGCAGCCTGGTCCCATGTAGGCAGTGCCCTGCCCGGCTCTGTGGCTGATGGACCCCAGACCCAAGAGCCTCCGGATCCTCCCTCGCTGTCCAACGGGTGGGGGAAAAAAATCAGGCTGGAACTCTGGGTCGTGTTTTTCAAGGCATAAGTGATGCTGAGCTGGGAGCTGTGAACTGGGCTGGGCTGTCGAGGTGTCCCCTTCCCCTCGCCCCTGCGGGTGTAACGGAGGCAGGAGAGGCTGGGGCTGTGGGGTCCCTGTGCTGTGCTGAGCAGCCGGCACAGCACCCCAAACCCAAAGTCCCCTCTTTGCCTTAACTGCAAGGCTGTGCCTGGTGGGTGGAGGGTGCAGGATGGCACGTTGCTGCCTTGGCTTAAGGCGTTTTGACACGGGGGTGCGTGCAGTGGTGGCACCGAACGTGTGGCAGTCGAGCAGGGAAGGCTTGGGAGCGTTTGTCCCCTTCCCAGCAGGCCCACGGGCCGCTCCGAGAAGTGCCGCTGTGGGATGCTGCCGTGCAACGGGGCAGGAGGGAGCAGAGGCAAATCCCACAGAGGTGCTGCAAGGTGGGAGCTGGAGACGGACGAGAAGAGGCGCTTCGGCGACCTTACTCCAATCCCACTTGCAAAAGCCGAGCAGGGAGGAGTCGTTTCTTTGGCTGCCAAGTTCCAAAACAGTGAGCTAATACCTAAAACCCTAACAGTAAATCATGTCCCTTTGCTGTTCACTCTACCCAAGCGGAAACGTGGACTGTACAAATACGCGCAGCACCGAGAGGTGTGAAGCACAGGCAGATTTTTTCCAGGGGCTCAGCCCGCAGCCGCTGTCAGCTCTGACGGGCTTGCGCAGGTTCAACGTTTTGGAAAAAAAAAAAAAAAAAAAAAAAAAAAAAATTTTTGTAAACAAACGTAATCCTAGTAATAAAACCCCGGGGGGCTGAGGTTTGGGTTTTCTTTATTACTGAGAGCCTGTTCTGGAAATCATGGTGCTTACTGACACAAATCTGCACTCTGGTGGGAAGATTTGCGGCTTGAAATGTTTTCTGTCTGTGTTTGGGGAGGGAAGAGCAGAGAGGAGCAGGCACCCATGGCCACCCTGCTGCCTGCACACC